GGCCGCCGGCGTCGGACCGCGCGCGGCCAGGGATGTTTGGCTGCGTCTTTGCATGAGCTTTCCACCCACCTGAGCCCAGTCCTCAGGGCCGTTCTCCCTCCCACCCCGTCTGGCGTGACCCCAGCCTCGGCCTCTTTCTAAGGGACTTCCTCAGCACATTTGTATTTTTATATCCGACTCTTTGTTTACTGGCTCTGCTCATGGTTCCTGCCCTCCCCTCAGTCTCGGCCACGCTTTTCTGCGCCTGGCAGATAGGATGGGTGTTGAGGCTGGGGTGGGACAAGCCCCCAACATGATTACCAATCACATGGCCCAGGCCTGGCCCCACGAGGTTCTCTGGCAGACCCCTACCCCCAAGGTATCATCACCTTCCAAGGGCCCAGATCTGATTTTACCTTGGATCCCTGCGTCTTCTCCCTGGGAACCCAAATGGGGACTGCTGTGCACCTTTGGATGACATGTGCGGCCCTGGAGACGTTCTCAACCCAGGGGTGCCCTTTGTAAATATTCCTCCATCCTCACTGTACCAGGAGTGTGTGAATAAACACAGACCTCCCGTGTGTGTGTGGCGGCTACTTAGGTCTGCTCAGGAGCCAGGCTGAAACGGGAGGGGGGTGGGTACTTGGGTGTACCAGGTGCATGTTGCTGGTAGGGAGGGGGCAGGTACTGGGATGTCTCAGGTGCATGTTCCTGGTGGGGGAAGGTTGCCAGCTTAAGACTAGCCTGGGAACATCATTACAATGTGGCCTCCTTGGGCACATGTACAACCCAAGCAGGACAGGTCACCAGTGTTAGGGCTGGAGCTGGTGTCAGAAGCAAAAAACAATCTAGATTCAAAGTCCGCAGCCTCCTATAGATAAATCCAGGTTGGATGAGGATGAGTAACAGGCCCCAGGGATGGACGTCTCTGAGGCTGAGGCTGGCTGGTGTACAGAGGGGTTATGCTGAGCTTTACCAGAGGAGATGAGTCACTGGTGGTTTGGTGTGGTGGCAGAGGAGGCTGGAGAACCCAGGAGGGATCTGAGGCACCCAAGAAGGAAGTCAGAAACCTGGGATCTGAAGTCTAGTTAGATCTGAGCTATATTGTTCACTTTGGTTTGCTCCCACCCTCTATCCCTGAGATGTAAGCACCTTAGACCCAGCCACAACCCCTAAGTCAGGAATTCCAGCTACCTGAGGAGCCCAGGGCAGGATGGCAGGGAGGGCTGGAGGACCATACTTCTGGCCTCACAGCTGAATTCCACTAAGGAAGTCCTCATGATCTGAGTCCTGAAGGAAGCAGGGTGAGGTGGGAGGTTTGGGGGGTGAGAAGATTTGGGCCCCCAGGGCCAACTGGGCCACACTGAGCTCCCCACCCTTGTGCATAAGGTAGAGATGGAAATGGAAACCACTGCCGTAGGTGGCATGCCTCAGGGACCAGCCATAACAGGCTTGGGCATAGTGTCTGGTCCGAAAGTGAGGGGCAGCAGAGGTCATTGAGATGAACCGGCCCCCAGGAACCAGCACGCGGCTCACCTGCAAGGCAGACAGAGAAGCCATCGGTGAGGACTGAATCTCCAGGTTCTCAAAGGTCAGTACTGCTTCAGAGACCCTCCCAGTCACACTTCAGGCACCACCCTACATCCAGAGGCTCAGGATTTCCTTGGCAAAGAGTGAGCCATCTTCTCTGCCCCTGGCCATTCCATACAAGTAGAGCTATAATCTAGACAGGCAGGAGCATGGGCGAGATGCCAGCTATAGGGGTACTACTTTCCTATCAACTGCTCACCTTCCTAGTCTGTGTCACCTGTCTGGAAACTGGCTGCCACCTCATCCCTATAACAATCCAGTAGCCAAACATCAGCCTTTGTGAGCCTAGCCACTCCAGCTGCCCCTAATCCTGACCCATCTTAACCTTCCCCTTCCTTCAGAGAACCACCCTCCTGAGGGTGGCCTACTACCTTCTCCAATCCATGCTTTATTCTAGCTTCTGAGTTCTTCCAATCTCCTGAAACCTCTACCCCACATCCCCACCTCTTGACCTGTCTTCTTCTTGTTGCTCCCTCACCTCACTCAACACCTGGTCCACAGTGTGGACACCTTCAGATGACACGGTCCAGGGATCCTGTTCTCCAGCCAGCAGGGCATCCAGAGTGCCCTTCTCAAGCACCACATCAAAGGAGCTACTGGGGAAATCCAGCATCCGCACGTCCATGGTTTCCCAGCGCAGCTTGGGCACATGGGCATAGCGAGCCCGCATGGTAGCCACCACTACTGATGAGTAGTCCACACTGGTCACATCAGGGAAACCTCCAAGGAACAGCTCGTAGCTCAGAGCACTATTACCACAACCTGGGAAGGGAAGGGGTGCATGGTGAAATAGCTAAGTTAGCTTTGGTTCTCACCTCCCTGATTATCCATCCACTCTTTTGTTTGTTTTAATGAGACAAGGTCTCACTGTCTTCCAGGCTGGAGTCAGTGGCCCAAACACGGCTCACCGCAGCCTCAACCTCTCAGGAGATCCTTCTGCCTCAGCCTCCCGAGTAGCTAGGACTACAGGCGCACACCATTACACCCAGCTGATTTTTGGATTCTTTTAAGAGACAAGGTCTTACTATATCGCCCAGGCTTGTCTCGAATTCCTGTGCTCAAGCAATTATCCTGCCTTGGCCTTCCAAAGTGCTAGGATTATAGGTATGAGCCACAGCACCCAGCCTCCACCCATTCCTGGCCCCACTTCTCTTAGTTCAAATCCTCCAGGACTGAGAAGAGATGGGATTTGGAGCCACACAGACCCAGGCACAAGTCCTGGCTCTATCATTCCTGGCTGTGTGGATTAGGGCATGCTGTTTAAGTTCTAGGAACCTGGATCTTCTCTTCAGAAAAATAAAGATAACTATACCTAGCCCACATGCAGGATATGATGCACTAAATTTACAAATTAGAACAGCTGGAGAGTAGCTGAAGAGTTCTGAAGTTCAGAGTTCAAAGATCTGGGTTCCAGTGTCCCTAGTCAGATAGTCATGGCAAATTATTCAACTCTCAAAGCCTCAGTCTCCTCAAACTCAGAATGAGGACAATACTGGCATCATTAGGACCACAATATTATTATTAGGATAATATTATTATTATTATTGGGATAAAATGAGTATTATCCTACTCCCTAACCTCTTAAGAGAACCTTTGGAGATATCAACTCTGGGAAGGCTTCATGTTAGGGCTTATTCTCCTGCTTTGTTTTCCAAGGCAGAATAAACAAATAAAGGGGAAACTAGGCGGGGACACACAGTGGGCTGTAATTCTAGATGTATATATTGAGCACTACATATTGGGCTCTGCTGATGAATACAGAGTCCCTGTCATAAAGGATCTCATGGTCCAGTGGGAAGAACAAATTTGTAACAATTGCCACATAACATGATGAGTGTTTCAACAGGATCAGGCTGTGAGAGCACATAGGAAGTCCTTAGATGGGTGATCTAAAAGTTTTTTGGGAGTGACAACCAAGCAGAGTCTTGACAACTTCCCAGTATTCTGGTGGCAAGTGCTTGAAAGCAGTCCTTTGGAGGGCAGGGGCAGGATGGAGAAGTGGTGGAGCTCAGAGGAGCTCAGGGTGTGGACCTACAGCCCAATGAGCATGACTTCCTTAGAAGATCCAGTGGCCTCTTCCAGGCCCTCCTGTGGCCAGTCTCAGCCTGGGAATGGGGCTAGATGACAGCTCTAGACAGCCCACATGGGGATTGCTAGCTCTTGAGATTAGGTTGCCTGTAATCTTCATTTGCTTCCCTAAGAGGATCACAGGATCAGCAGTTAGGATAGCCCTAATCTAGCAGAGCTTGGAGCCTGGACAGGGCACCCAGGGGCGGCTGACTTGTTCCATGTTCTGTCCCTTCCCGTGTTCCTCTTCAAGCCCTGGGGCTCAGGGAGAGTACTCTCTTGCCTGCGATAATCCTACACATCCTTCCCCAAGTTGGAGCCACAACAACCTCTGGTAGACACAGCACATGGACAGAGGGTCAGGGTGTCTCGGCAGGAGACCCAGACTCAGTTCCAGAGAATCCCATGGGGTTCTCTGACCCACAATCCCTTCATTGTCCCACACCCAACCTCATATGCCCACAGGGCTCTGCCCAACTGTGGACAAACCCACATTTCCTTATTTTGTTCCTCTTAGTACAGGATGGCATCTTCCAAGAGGACTTAATTAAAGATGAGAGGGGAACAAGACCTGATCACTGGGCCAGTCATAAGTACAAAGACTGATTTTCTTTATTCTGTTGCCTCAGTGAGTTTGGACCAGCAACTAAGACAGGGCTCAGGAAGGTCGCTGCCTTCCAAGGTGGGGCCTGAGGGAAGCAGAGCCTTGGAGAACTGGCCCAAACCCAAGAACATATCACACAGGGGCCCAGAGCAATGTAGATGCTAACTCAATACCAAGAGACTGAAATGTAAGCCAGAATGCCAGTTCACTAATCTATATCGGGGGAAAAAATAGCCATCATGAGGACTAGAGTTGAATCCTCTCATCAGTCCCCTTTCTCTTTATAGGAAGTCTAAATTGGAAGCCAAATGATGATCAGAAGATTCCTAAGAGCATGGAGTCAAGCAAGGATAGACAATCAGAGAAGTATAATGATGGCACACTAGTGACAGCCATCCATGTGCATTTACCTGCTATGAGGACATCTTAGCCATAGAGACCAGACAAGTACTTAGGCAGGGTACTCTGTTCTCTAAACAGTGCTGGACTGTCCTCACTCCCATTTTTTTTTTTTTTTTTTTTTTAGTTGGAGTCTTACTCTGTCACCCAGACTGGAGTGCAGTGGGCGCTCCCGGCCACCACAACCTCAACCTGCTGGGCTCTGGCGATCCTTCCACCTCAGTCTTCCAAGTAGCTGGAACTACAGATGCACACTACCACACCTGGCTAATTTTTTGATTTATTGTAGAGATGAGATCTCGCCAAGTTGCCCAGGAGGGTCTCGAACCCGCAGGCTCAGGCAATCCACTCACCTCAGCCTCCCAAAGGCGCGGGATTACAGGCTGAGCCACCGAGCCCGGTTTCTCACTCCCATTTTTAATAATGACAGCTAACAGTCATTGCACACCAGGCACTATGCTTAAGCACTTTATAAGAATTATTTCAGTTTATTTTCCCAGTAGATCCATATAAAAATACTATTATTATCATTCTCATTTTTTTTTTTTTTTTTGAGTTGGAGTCTCACTCTGTTGCCCAGGCTGGAGTGCAGTAGCATGCTCACAGCCACCGCAGCGTCAACCTGCTGGGCTCAGGCGATCCTTCTGCCTCAGTCTTCCAAGTAGCTGGAATCACAGGCAACGCGCCACCATGTCTGGCTAATTTTTTGATTTATTGTAGAGATGAGGTCTCACTAAGTTGTTCAGGCTGGTCTCGAACTCATGATCATTCTCATTTTCTAGGTGGGAAAATTGAGGAAAGTAGACAAGAAACTTTCTCATGGTCACATAGTCAGTGGAAGAGTCAGTATTTGGATCCAGGCTTGTGTCACTCTCTGGAGTGTTCTTAAACCACTATGCTCAACTGCCTCCCAATTTTCTTTTTCTTTTTCTTTCTTTTTGAGTTGGAGTCTCACTCTGTCACCTAGGTTGGAGTGCAGTGGCATGCTCAGAGCCACCGCAGCCTCGACCTGCTGGGCTCAGGCAATCCTTCTGCTTCAGCCTTCTAAGCAGCTGGAACCACAGGCATGTGCCACCACCCTCGGCTAATTTTTTTAATTTATTGCAGAGACAAGGTCTCACCATGTTGCTCAGGCAATCCTCTTGCTGCCACCTCCCAAAGTGCTGGGATTACAGGCATAAGTCACCATGCCCGGGCTGCCTCCCAATTTTCAAGAGGCCCACTCACCTTCAGTGGTGACATTCCACCTTCAGATATGTCAATATGACCATTAGGCCAAAATTCACTATGTAGTCATTTTAATAGTTTCCATAAAGTTCAGGATGTCTCTCTACACCCAACTGTGTGGTGCAGCAGGAGAAATACACACTCTGGAGTCAGAAGGCAACTTTATTTCACCACTTACTTGCTGCATGACAGTAGTGGACACTGTGGGGGCTGTGATGAGATGTCCCCTTGAAGTCCTTTGACCCATTTTTGTATGCCCCTAGGTAAGGGTATGTGTTTGCTTCTAATGGTTTGCATCTATGACTCTTCAGGCTGAAACTACCCTCAGTGATATTTGCTTCTTTCCTCTCCCCCTGTTCCCAGATCACTTACCAATTCTCCTGGGAGCACTTTCCTAACAAATGACTTGGATATGAATCCTCATCTCCCTCAGGATTTGCTTCTGAGGAACCCAACCTAAGACAGCGATCTACAGCAGAGGTTGCCAAATCCGGCTTGCCGCCTGTTTGCATAAAATTATACTGAAACACGGCTATTCTCAATTACTTTTGTATTGTCTGTAGCTGCTTTTCCACCACAATAGCAGAGAAGAGTGGTTGTAAAAAGGAGACTGAATAGACTGCAAAGCCTAAAATATTTACTATCTGGTCACATTCAGAAAAAGTCTACAGATCCCTAACCTAATATAAAAGTGTCTTTCTCAGCTGGGCTCGGTGGCTCAGCCTGTAATCCCACACCTTTGGGAGGCAGAGGTGAGTAGATTGCCTGAGCCTGCGGGTTCGAGACCCGCCTGGGCAGCGAGACCTCATCTCTACAATAAATCAAAAAATCAGCCAGGCGTGGTAGCGCATACCTGTAATTCCGGCTATTTGGAAGGCGGAGGCGGAAGGATCGCCAGAGCCCAGCAGGTCGAGGCTGCGGTGGCCGGCAGCAGCCACTGCACTCCAGTCTGGGCGACAGAGTGAGACTCCAACTCAAAAAAAAAAAAAAAAAAAAGTGTCTCTCTCATTCTCGTTTTTTTTTTTTTAATTTTAGAGTCAGGGTCTCATTCTGTCACCCAGATTGGGGTGCAGCGATGTGGTCATAGCTCACAACAGCCTCAAACTCCTAGGCTTAAGTGATCCTTCTGCCTCAGCCTCCCAAGCAGCTGGGCATACAGGCACAAGCCACCACACCCAATTAATATTTTTATTTTTTGTAGAGACAGGGTCTTGCTATGTTGACCAGGCTGATCTCAAACTCCTGGCCTCAAGCAAGTCTCTTAATATTTATAACTCACTTTTAGTAGTAGCTGTTAAGGATTAAGTTCGAAAGGGCCCAGTACATTCCCTGGCACTCACCAGGTGCTCAAGTTTGTTGAGGTGGAATGTAACATAGGTTATTCCCCAAGTTGTGAATCCTGTTATTAGATCTAGGGATCTGGCCTAGAAAGTTTTCCCTTTTGGCCAGGTTCAGTGACTCACACCTGTAAAATACCAACATTTTGAAAGATGGGGTGGGAAGATTGCTTGAACCCAGGAGTTCAAGACCAGCCTGGGAAACCAAGCAAGAACTTGTCTCTAAAATAAAATAAAATAAAATAAAAATTAGCTGGGTGTGGTGGTGTGCACCTATAGTTCCAGCTACTCAGGAGGCTAAGGTGGAAGGACTGCCTAAGCCTAGGAGGTGGGGGCTGCAGTGAGCTGTGATTGTGTCACTGCACTCCAGCCTGGGTGACAGAGTGAGACCCCAACTCCAAAAAAAAAAAAAAGTTTTCCCTTTTGATTTTTAGACTTTTTGCCTGTCCTATCCAGAAAAGGATACCTGCTAGTCAGGAAGATTGTTTTAAAAACATCAGTTTGGTGAAAAAAAGTTAAGCAGAGTTTGAAGCAGTGTTACTCTGCCAATCACCAGCATGAGAATCAGCTGTGAAACTTGTTGAACATACCAATTCCTGACATCCACCTTAGATCATCCTTGGGATTAGAATCTCAGGGTGGGATCTAGCTTTCCAGATGATTTGAATACACACTAAAACTTGAAAAACATAGATCTAGCCGGGCTCCGTGGCTCAGCCTGTAATCCTGTGCCTTGGGAGGCTGAGGTGAGTGGATTGCCTGAGTCCGCGGGCTCAAGACCCGCCTGGGCAACTTGGTAAGACCTCATCTCTACAATAAAACAAAATATTAGCCGCGTGTGGTAGCGCACGCCTACAGTTCCAGCTACTTGGAAGGTGGAGGCAGAAGGATCGCCAGAGCCCAGCAGGTCGAGGCTGCGGTGGCCGGGAGCGGCCACTGCACTCCAGTCTGGGTGACAGAGTGAGACTCCAACTCAAAAAAAGAAAAAAAGAAAGGAAAAGCATAGATCTATGGTAAATCTATAAATAAATGTAATGGCTTAAAAATTACAACATTCAAGACAATGTTTACCCATGGGGTGAAGGGGTTTTGGGAGGACCACAGGGAAAACCTTGAATATACTTTTCATCTTGCCAGGTATTGTTCTAGGTATCTTTCATATTCATTCAATCATCCTAAAACCTAGTAAATAATACTTTTTTTATTTAAGGCTGAGAAAATGGAGGCACAGAAACTCACGTATTTTTTTTAGAATTACACAGCCAGTATATGTTCAGCCAAGATTCCAACATAATCAGCTGCCTCCAGAGTCCAAGTTCTTTTTTTTTCTTTTGAGTTAGAGTTTCACTCCGTCGCCCAGGCTGGAATGCAACGGCACACTCACAGCCACCCCAGCGTCGACCTGCTGGACCCTGGCTATCCTTCCGCCTCAGCTTTCCAAATAGCCAGAACCACAGGCCCGCGCTACCTTGCCAGGATAATTTTTGATTTATTGTAGAGACGAGGTCTCGCCAAGTGCCCGGGCTGGTCTCGAACCCGCAAACTCATGCAATCCACTCACCTCGGCCTCCCAAAGTGCTGGGATTAGAGGCTGAACCACCGAGCCCAGCCCAGAGTCCAAGTTCTTAACCACTAAGTTATACTAAGTTTTTCTAGCCCTAGTAATGTTCTATTACTCAAAACGGAGTAGTCAAACCATTAAATAAGTTATTTATACCTTACATACATACCGTATCATAGCTATCTCTTTTATCTGTATTAAATATTTCACTTAAAAATATAAAGGCTTTTCCAAAGAGCAAAAGAAAAACTACAATTGGAAGAAAACTTGTTGCTCATTCAGAGTTCACTAGAGGCCCCAAGGCTGACACTGGGCTACAACCCCGATAGGAGAGCGGGACTTGTCAGAGCTCCACCTCGCGTCCCTGCGCTCCTTCGCTTTGGAGAATCGCACCAATCTCGGCTGCAATCTCCCTCCAACCGCAGAGGGTGCTGTTCTTACCCTCACTCCTCACGGTGCTCAGGACCAAGTTTCATTAGGGCTCTGAAAGTTAGTTGATAACTCTTTAGGTAACTATGGTTCCCACTGCTCATGGGGCAACGAGGAAAGCGCTAAGCATTGTGTGCGAGGTGCCTACACGTACCGTATCCGACTCGAGCACAGTCCCATTTCTAGAAAATAAAGCTCAGAACGGGTTTATGACTTGTTCTAAGTTATATAGCCGATTAGCCCTAGGCCTTGAACTAGGTCCTCTGAGCTCTCCGGTGACCAAAGATGCCTCGCGAGAGTCCGGAACAGGGTCCTGGGTGACCCCTACGCTCAGACCCCGAGAGAACTGTCTTCCTCCAGAGGGCTTCCGGACTGACAGTCTCTTACTCCTGTTTGCCTCTGCTAAATACGGCCAGCTCCCGCCCCAGGCGTCCTCTAAGAGGGGTAGGCAGACGGGAGGAAAGCAGACCGGGCCAGGCCCGGGCTGAGGGGGTCCAGCCAGCCCTGCCTGGGCGGGACAGCGCCGGGACTACCCACCTAGCACCAGGATACGGTCCTTGGGTCGCAGCTCCGGTTCTAGGATGGAGCGGAAGGAAGCGAAATCGCCGAACCACTCGTAGGGGGCAGAATCGACAGCGTCTTGGTAGCGCTGGTCCCAGTACTGCACCTCGCAGTACCCGCAGTTCCGCTCGGGTAACTCCGGCTGGGGCGCGCGAGCCCCGGGGGAAGCCATGCTCTCAACAACCGGGCCGCCAGCGCGCCCGGGCTTTCTGGCTAATCCGGACCGCGGGCTGGAGGAGGCGGGACCCTTGTGTCTCCGCCCACCACCTGCAGTTGCTCAACACAAACACGTGGAACTTCCGTCCTCCGCTAAGCGCTCTTCGGAGAATCCTCCGGCTGGGAAATTCTATCGTCCAGACCCTGAATCCGGCTGTACTGCCCGCTCATTTCCTAGAGCCATGCTCACGGCATTAAACTCGGGCTCATCACTGCGCCCTCTCACATTTTCAATTTGACGTCTCCTTCCATGAGAAACCGGAAAACTAGCGAAAGGTTAATCTCTTCCCAAGCCATTTTTGAGCACCCTGAAGGATCTAAGGGGAGGTTGGGAGCGCAGACAGGGACTTTGCCCTCCAGGAGAGAGGCGTGAACACATATGCCCAGCACAGGCGAAACGGGATGCTGGGTGTGAGGGAAAGGGTGGGGTTTGCTTCTGGGCAGGCATTCGCTAGCGTTTGTTTGTAACCAGGCCTGGGTATAAGCTGAGGAGTAAGACTTTGCTTGTGCGCGTATAGAGTGTGCAGCGTATCAGATGAGACAAATACGGGAGAAATATCTATTAGTGTAGTAAAGAATGACTATTCGGATCAGTGCTTAGTCCGGTACGACTCCCGACGCGGAGGGCGGAACCTAAGTGTCAACGGTTCGGGTTTCCGGGGTGGTGGGTCCATATGAGCGGTACACGGTCAAGATGGCGGCTGGGCTGCGGAAACGCGGCCGGGCTGGCTCCGCGGCCCAGGCAGCTGGACTCTGCAGGCAATGGCTGCAGCGCGCCTGGCAAGAGAGGCGCCTGTTGCTGCGGGAGCCGCGCTACACGTTGCTGGTGGCCGCCTGCCTCTGCCTGGCGGAGGTGGGCATCACCTTCTGGGTCATTCACAGGGTGGCATGTGAGTGCGCCGAGGGAGAGGAGAGGGGAGGGGATGGGAGAGGAGGGAGGGAGACTCGAACCCCCGACCCACACTGGTACTAGGACCCGAAACTCAAAACCAGACTTCACTTCCACTCATGCATCGATTGCAGACGCATCCGTAGCCCTTACCCGAACCCCAAGGCTGTTCAACAGAAGATCTTAATCCTCCCTCAAGACGGAAGGGGTGGCCCTAGAGTTTGGCCTTCTGCGCTGAACATACAGCCACCTGCCAGGCTAATAAAGCAAACCAGCTGGAAATGAGAAGACCTGCTACTTGTTTCTGTGACTTTGGACACGTCATTTCCCCGCCTGGATTTAAATTTTCTCATCTGTTCATTTCTGAGGTCTTTGAAAGCCCTTTCTCACTGATGGCATTTTGTGACCGCTTGAATTTATTAGGCATTTCTGGTAACTCCTTTCCAGGCTAAGTCTAGACACTGGGCTTAAGGCACCTGACTTTCATGCTAAAGATGATTAATTCACCACATTTATTAAGGGATTATTATATGCCTAACATTATGGTAGATGGTAGGTTCAGTGGTGAATAAGAGAGATGCGTTTCTGACTTCAGTGTGAGGGGCTTGAACAAAGATAATTTAGCCGGCAATTACGATGCTTCATATTCCTCGTGAAAGTAGTAAGACAGGATGCTATAAAGGACATAGGAAGGCATGAGGAGTCAGGGAAGGCTTCTTAGAGCCCACCTTAGAAGGTAAGAGCTAGCCAGTTGAGGAAAGAAGGAAATGGAAAGGGAGAAGATTGCTATGGGCAGAGAGGATTCTATCAAAACCTCCAGTCAAAAAGGAGAGCCTGGTTCCTTTGAGGAACTGAAATAACTTTTTTTAAAGAGTGAGATGAGAATGCAGAAGCTGAGACTAGATCCTGAAGGAACTTGAAACCTTTGTTAAGAAGATGACATGATAGTTAAGATTGGGAACCCATGAGTTCTGATCCCAGCTCTATCATTCCTAGCTCAATGATCTTAAGCCAGTCACCTACCCTAATTAACTCTTAGTTTCTGCTCCTAAACATGGGAATAATAGGTCTTTATCTTTAAAGTGTTAGGGATTTATTGAAGGGTTTTAAACAGAGAGACTTGATATGGTTTGTATTTTAGGAAAAACTGTCTGGTGCAGGTTGGAAAATATGTTGTAGTGGGGTGAAAGCAGAATCTGAGAGGAGGCTATTGTACATATTGTTGAAGCTAGAGATTATGTTAGGTCCAAATTTGAGTATGTGGTTGCAGAAAAAGATGAGCTAGTGGAGATATTTGGGATGAAGAATAGGCAGAATTTTTTTTTTTTTTTTTTGAGTCAGTGTCTCACCTTGTCACCTAGGCTGGAGTGCAGTGGTACACTCACATCCACCACAGCCTTAACCTGCGGGGCCCAGGCAGTCCGTCCGCCTCAGCCTTCCAAGTAGCTGAAACCATAGACATGCGCCACCACGCCTGGCTAATTTTTTGATTTATTGTAGAGATGAGGTCTCGCCAAGTTGCCCAGGCTGGTCTTGAACACATGGACTCAGGCAGTCCTCTTGCCTCAGCCTCCCAAAGCGCTGGGATTATAGGCGTGAGCCACTGTGCCCAGCTAGGCAGAACTTTTTGACTGAGGATTAGAGATGAGAGAGAAGGAAGTAGCAAAGGTTACCCAGGTTTGTTATCCAGGAAGGGGAGCAGATTTGGAGTGAGAAGAGAGACCATGAGTTCAATTGAGTTGAGTTTGAAATACCTTTGTTCACCAGAGAGTATCAGATAGCCAGTTAGATTAATAGGTGGTGATGGAATCCTGGGAATGAGCTAAAAAGTCTGTACTTTGATGGTCTGGAAGCATGGGGGGCAGGCAGTGCAGACAAGCTCTGTACCCAGAAATAACTATATCATCTTGTTCTCTTGTAGACACAGAGATCGACTGGAAGGCCTACATGGCCCAGGTGGAAGGTGTCATCAATGGCACCTATGACTATACCCAACTGCAGGGTGACACTGGACCTCTTGTGTGAGTGGGGATAGTAGGTTCGGGAGGGATGTGAGGGACTGGTAGCATACCGGTTTGGGTGGCTTGACCCAGGCTCAGATTCCCTATCATCTTCCAGGTACCCAGCTGGGTTTGTGTACATCTTTATGGGGCTATACTATGCCACTGGCCGGGGCACTGACATCCGCATGGCCCAGAACATCTTTGCTGTGCTCTACCTGACTACCTTGCTACTTGTATTCTTGATCTACCACCAGACTTGCAAGGTGAGTCCATGCTACTGGAAGGGCTGGAGAGTTGGGATGGTTCAGGCTCAGTGAGCTGACCTGGTTCCTCACTGTGCCCACCCTCAGGTACCTCCCTTCGTCTTTTTCTTCATGTGCTGCGCTTCTTACCGTGTCCACTCCATCTTTGTGCTGCGGCTCTTCAATGACCCAGTGGCCATGGCGCTGCTCTTCCTCAGTATCAACCTTCTGCTGGCCCAGCGCTGGGGCTGGGGCTGCTGCTGTTTCAGGTCAACACCCCTCCCTTCTAGTCCCCTCTCTCACTTTCTGCATTTCTGTCTCTCCCAAATTTTCTGCAGCAGAGGGAGTCAAGGAGTAGTCAGACAATGTGGGTCACTCGGGGCCCCACAAAGCAAGTCCAGAATCTATTGAAAGACTCCACCTCTCTGCCCCCCGCACCCATGCACATACCCATTACCCTCTTCCCACCCTCTCTTCCCCCCAGACAGCATCTATAGTTGGAACTGGGCCTTGCACGTTCTAAATACTCAGTATATCTCACTCAACCTGGACATAGAGACTAGGTGTCTGCCCCTACCTTCAGCCCCTTTCCAGCAGTTCTGAGTGCGGGTCCCATCCTGGAGTTTGCTGCCATGGGGTGGGGGTCACTGTGGTGTTGTGGGGGGGTCTGTCTTTGGGTGATATGCTTGGCCCTGGAGCTGATCTCCACCCTTCCTCTCCCCTGCCCACCCCAGCCTGGCAGTTTCTGTGAAGATGAATGTGCTGCTCTTCGCCCCTGGGTTACTGTTTCTTCTCCTCACACAGTTTGGCTTCCGTGGGGCTCTCCCCAAGTTGGGCATCTGTGCTGGCATTCAGGTACCCCCACCTAACCCTTCCCCTTTCTAATAAAGTGGAGGCTACTCGTATGCCTACTTCCATTCCTGAGATTTCCTCAAAGCTAAGAGACAGTGTTTCAGAGTTGATTCTGATCTGGGAAGCCACTATCTCTGAGCTGTAGTTTACTTGGTTGTAAAATAAGAGTATTGAACAACGTGGTCTCTGAAAGCCTTTCTAGCTCTGCCCATTTATTACTTGGTGAATCCAAACCTTCAAGCATTGTTATTACCTGCCTCCCCAGCTTCTTTGACCTTAGGCTGTGTCCTGTGGGGGCCAGGAGTGCTTTCCTGCAGTTCCTGGTAGGAGTTAGGGAACCTCTGAGGCCTACATTCCATGCCCCTCAATAATTAGCATGAAGGCAGGGGTTGAGCCTTGGCAGCTCTGCTGACATCACACCCATCTTCAGGTGCTGCTGGGGCTGCCCTTCCTGCTGGAGAACCCCCTTGGTTACCTGTCACGGTCCTTTGATCTTGGCCGCCAATTTCTGTTCCGCTGGACAGTGAACTGGCGCTTCCTCCCAGAAGCCCTTTTCCTGCATCGCGCCTTCCACCTGGCCCTGTTGGTCGCCCATCTCACCCTGCTCTTGTTATTTGCCTTCTGCAAGTGGCACAGGTGAGAAAGGAGGCAGTGCCATGGGAAGAATTAGGGGAAGGAGTGAAGGGCCTAGGCCTCAGTCGCTGTTTGGGGAAATGTTAAACTCTTGGGGTGAGTCTAGAGTTTAGCCCACAATGGGACTTGATAAATGTCTGAATGGCTTTTTCCCCAGGACAGGGGAAAGCATCCTGTCGCTGCTGAGGGATCCATCCAAAAGGAAGGTTCCATCCCAGCCCCTCACACCCAACCATATCCTTTAAATTGTGGAAAGGTGAGTCTTGCCCCCTCCACATGCAGATGGGGACCTGATTGGTTAGCCCTGGATGGCTGGAGACCTTGGGGAGCAAAGGGGAGCCCAATCTTAGAGTGCCTATTCTGCACCAT